ATATTGTCACAACACAAAATATATCATTGATTTATTGGGAGCATAAAATGAAACGACAAGAACAACAACAACAATACTAAACATAAGAACTACATTAGTAAAGAACAAAAAACTATAAATCAAGGTATAGGCTTACTATTCAATGAAAAAAAACAAAAAAAAGACCCTCAGTATAGGATTACAGTTTACTAAAGCAAAATACAAAGACCCAAATATGTAAAATAATGATTCATACAAAATATTATGTTGTATACACCAATGAAATAAAACAAAAATATATATGAATTTACCAAACATCTTTGTGCCTAAAGAAAGCAAAAAAATGCTTAAACAAATTCTAATCTCACATTGAATTCCTAGTTGCCTAAATCTTTGGTAACATCGAATCTCTCTCTTGTTCTTTATAAGGAACCCCATCGGTTTAAGGAAAAAAAAAGAATTTTTCATTGGATTACTCTTCTTCAAACTTTTCATATTATTTTGAGATATATGTTTGTTTTCATATCTTATTTTTTTGGGAAATATATTGCTTATTTTTTATAGGCTTCTTTCAAGGGAACTTATTGGTGAAAATTTTTAATAGAAATTTTTGTTAAATCAATTTACAACGCTACATCCTAGGCTCAATTCCTATCAAAGGTAGGAGCCCTTTCCCCTCTGACTCACCCAAATAAAAATATGCTTAATTTACTCTAGCAGCTAATGTGCATATCTTTAAACCAAAATTCAATAATATTAAGTTAATGAAGGAATAACGTTATAGGAAAGAAGTCTTTTTGGAAAAAAACTTAAATATGGATTTATATCGATTACATTAAAAAACGTGATTTTTTAAATATCTTTTGAAAAACTTGAAGTTCTCAACATATCTAAAGAAACCATATATTTTTTGAAAAAATGGAAATGCTACTGCCAAAATATGGTCTTCCCAACCATCTTTTCAACCATTGAATATATGGATAAACCCCGTAAGAAAAGAGATCCATCTACTCAAGAAAGTAAATGATGTTGGAGTTTGATTGGGTGAAATGGGGAAGAAAATTGTATGATTTTGTAAAATTAGATCTCGAACTCTTTTTGTTTTTGGACACGCAAGAGTGCTATCTCAAGACAATACTTGCACCTATTCGATATAATATCTGATGTGCCTAAGAATGACAATTCATCATCGAGATAAATGAAAACAAAGAGGTCCTTTACAATGCTTCTAAGTTCTATGCACCCGAGTTTGGAACGAACACATTAGACACCAGAGTCTTGATGTATTAGAGAGAGAAAGAGAGAAAATCGAGTAGAGAGAGTTTAGCCTGCTGGTTTGCTTGTTGGAATTGCAAAGAATAATGTGATGTTGAGAGGCTAAAAAATAGTTCAAAGTGTCCAAACTCGTATGGGTAGGAGGGCCCTTGTTATAAAGAGCCAAGATGCTGCCTATTTAGTGTTGTGGTGATTACATGCACCACACAACAGCTACAAGTTACACACACTTGAAGGGTTACATGCACCCCAATAGCTACAAGTTACATGTACTTGATAGCTGCCGTTACAAACCTCCATCTTATCAATGGCTAGAAGATCCATGGATGTCCCACACACATCAACGGTTAGATGACCATTGGATCCCCCTACGAACTGGGCTTATAAAAAGTTAACGAGCCACGAGCCCGACCCGCATACGTGCTTGGGTTTGGGCGAGGGACATCACATGCACCGAGGCAAGCGCCCGACCTGTGTACGTGTGAAGTGCAAAGTACGTCATCAAGCAGCCTTACACCCCAAGCGCATTCTCTCTCCTTTGTACTTAGAGTATATTGCAAGGCAATGCGTTTATTAATCATGCGTTTGAAAATGTTGGGGGATGCTAAATCATGATTTCTTGCTCATAAAGTTTTTATATATTAGTTATTTTTGCATTTGTATGTATGATGTTTTTTTTTTTTTTCATCTTTCCTTTTGTTATATTATTTTATTTTATTTTTTATTGCATCTACGTGTTAAAGTAGAAAAATAACCAAATAACAAATGTTTTTGTATTCTGTCTCAACTCTATTTTACATTTTGTAGATTGTTGAAATTTTAAATAGCTGTTATTTTTCTTAAATTGAGGAATTCACTTTGAAATTTTCATCCATATGCTAATTTGGCAAGCTTAAAATTCAATAAAAAAAAAAAGGACTTTGGGAACGCTTTTAGGGTTTGCACATATTTCCTGATTCTAAAGTAATGTGTTTCCCCCTAAATTTGTGATTTTCGATTTTTTTCAAACTTTTTAAGTGCTCCACTTTTCAACTCTTTTAAGATTTTTTTTTTGTATTAGGGCTTTCAAGTTTTTTTTCTGAAATTAACACTTTGTTTTTTCTTTTTTCTTTTTGAAATTAAGGCCTTCACTTTGTTTTTTCTTTTTTCTTTTTTAAATTCCTACCACCGTTGTCAAACGCTTTGAAAATTACAATCTCACACATATAGTTATTTAATTCATAGTTATACTTTAATTTTTTTTTTGCAATTATTGCACTGTATATAGAAAGATTTAAAAAGGTCACTGTACTTGATTTATTATAGAGGCTTTTAAAATTGGCATCTTAGTATCTTTCTCGTTCCCTTAAAATGCATTGTTTATTCCAATGGAGCTTTTGTGTGTAATATTGATAACATATGTTTTTAGTAATAATCATCAATAAAAAATAGAGAAATTATCGTTAATTAAGAAAATCATAAAAAAAAATCCCAAACTTCCCAAACCTCGTCCACACCTTTTTTTTCCAATTTTTGATATTTTTTGGACGAAAATACCCTTTACAGTAGTTGTCTTTCTACCATAATGCATTGCGACCATTATGATAGTTAAAATACCGTTCTAAATAGAGATAGAATCGCGGTACTTCTAGTACCGTAATAACATAAACATCTATTACGGTATTTCAATTACCGTAATAACATAGAGTATTACGGTAATTAAAATACCGTAATATTGCCCAACTCAACATGAAAGATTTTTTACTCTCTCGCGCCTACTATTTATTTACTCCCTTGACAAAAATCCACGCTAGCTGTAATTTTTCAAATCTCAAATTTTTAGAATATAATATCTATTTAATTTTTATATGGTTGTCAAAATTTTAGAACGACAACATGCTTAAATAAGTGTTTTTGAACGAGCGAGGAGATCCACATTGCGCTCTTATGGGAACATAGATTTTTTGAAAATGGTAGCTCTGATATTAGCTTTGGTTTGAAGCTTTTAAAGTATTACGATAATTGTAACATAATACTTTAAAAGCTTCAAACCAAAGCAGGGCTACTCTTTTAAAAAAATCTATGTTCTTATGGGAGCACGATGTGGATCTACTCCCTCACTCAAAAACTCCTATTTAAGCATGTATTCGTTCTAAAATTTTGATAGCCATATAAAAATTAAGTAGAGATTACTTCTTAAAAATTTGAGATTTGAAAATATACAGCTAGCGTGGATTTTTATCGATGGAGTAAATAAATAATACGCTCGACAGAGTAAAAAATCTTTCGTGTTAAGTTGGGCGATATTACGGTACTTAAATCACCATAATACTACTTTAAAGTATTACAGTATTTTAGTTACCGTAATACTCTATAGTATTACAGTAATTAAAGTATTGCAATAGATGTTTATGTTATTACAATACTAGAAGTACCATAAGTCTATCTTTATTTACAATTGTATTTTAATTACCATAATAGTCGCTATGCACTACGGTAGAAAGATTACCGTAAAAAGTATTTTCGTCGAGAAAATGTCGAAAATTGAGAAAAAAGGTGTGGGTGAGATTTTGAGAAGTTGGAGGTTTTTTTACGATTTTCTTAATAATTTCCCTAATAAGTAATGTATATATATGATTTTTCCTTATCAACTTTGAAACTACACTTCTTTATATGTCTTGTGCTCTTTAAAAAACGCGTGTGAAGCATGTGCGTTTTTGCTAGTATTAATTATTATATTGTTATTTTGATGGAATAGCATTTCTGACCTCAAAACATGGAGATCTATATTCAACCCATTTTGGTAGATATAGATTTCCACGTGGAGACTAAAATCCCATCTGCACTGCATCTAAACTACAAAAATATCTGGTATCCATAGAAATGGGTCCGAGCGATGTATTCCAAGGAACCAAACGAGGTGACAACCAATTCTAAGTTGGATTTTGGTTCCATATGATACATGGAAAAACTT